CTCTCTCTCTCTCTCTCTCTCTCTCTCTCTCTCTCTCTCTCTCTCTCTCTCTATCTCTCTCTATCTCTCTCTTCTCATCAGGTTCTTATTGTAAATTGCATGTCCTGTGTGTAATCCCTTGTTTTCGTTCTGCCCTAGTGCCACCACGCCTTCATCTGGTGACATCTTCATGCTGAAGTTTTTGATGGACACGATGCGATCAGCAGCCGGCGAGAATGGTGACAATTTGCCTTCCATTCAGGTGCACTCTTTACCGCATCTGCTTCACCTACTGGAGGCCATGCTTCACATTGTGTCTCTGAGTGCAACCTCCCCTGCTGGGACTACTCACTGCCAGAGCTGTGTGGAGTATGCAACACCAGAATCCGCTGAGGCAGCAACAACAACAGCAGCAACAACATCAACTGGTTGTGGTTCGACTGCAAGTGATACACCACGTTGCAGTATGGGTAAGTTGTGCAGAGAAGCCATGTGCTGTTGTGGACGCTTGTCACATTACATGTACAGTAAAATCTGGTTTAAGCGACCACCACCCCACGGTGCAAGCAATAGCGGTCGTTAAAGCCATCTGGTCTTTAGAACCAGGTCCCATACATTCGCGGCAAATCGGATTCTGCACATACATGTACAATGTCATGTACTTCCATGACACTCATACTGACAGGTGTGGAGCATAGCACACTTTCGTGTAGGCAAAGCACCCATGAGTTTCACACCTCACTCAAGTGCATGCAGCACACCCTGTACTGTCACTTGTCACTTCTGTTGACTGCATGCCCTGGCGTCTGAGCGTGTTTCAACCCTGTTGCAGTCAAGCCTGCCAGTCAGGACAACACTTGTGGCTAGTTGTTGTCGTTGTATGCTGGTCAGATATGACACTTGGTACACTGAAAGTCGGTCGCTGGTCGCGCAAAGCAGGTGGCCACTGTACCCTGTGCAGTTTCTGTATAAAACTGTCCGTGCATGGAAAACCGTCCGTTAAAAAGGGGGTCGTTTAAACCAGAGGTCGCTTAAACCAGGTTTACTATACATCAGTCACACGTTGGGATCACAAGGCAAGGTTTGCCATGATAACCAGCGGATTCAAACGTATGAATCAAAGCCGCATCATGCATGTAATATCAGCCTTTTCACCAGACCCAGTGTACGGGAAAAGTGCAAGTGACGTCGTATCAGCAGCCTTTTCACCAGACCTGGGGTACGGTACAAATCGGCACCTGTCTTAGGTTTAATGTGCTGGCTTTTGTTGTGCTGTTATGTAGATCAACTAGCTTCTGCCACAAGCGTAACAAGCGCAAGTGGGCGCGTGCCAATAGCAACTGACCCCAGTCATCATTCGAGTTTTTTTACTCGTTCACCCTGCCTGGGGATGGTCGGCGCGTTGTCACCATCTAGCCGATCACGGTGCAAGGACTCCATCCTACTCGCTGGCAACCCATATCTCTTGGAGGCTTCGAAGCGACAAGAGCTTCTCGTTGGTCCACCGAATCAATGCCTTGCCGACTGGGTTAGTGGGTTCCTGTGTGTGTGTGTGTGTGTGTGTGTGTGTGTGTGTGTGTGTGTGTGTGTGTGTGTGTGTGTGTGTGTGTGTGTGTGTGTGTGTGTGTGTGTGGAAGTTCATCCTGTTGTGCACGAGACGTGGTTCTTGATTCCCTGCGTGTAGCTGAATGCATGCGTGTCGGCCGTGAGATTTATGTTGTAGGTGCTTCAATGGGCAATGGGAATTGCTGTGTTTCAATGTGCAATGCTGCTGGATCAGCAAGCATAATACACTTACTGTGAGGTACCATGACAACACCCCACCTCAACCATACAGCCAGTGAAAGGAAAAACTAGGTTTGTAGTTTACGAGAACCTTGGGCTACGTTAACTGATAGTACACTAACGAGCTGCGCATTTACCTGTATTGTCCTGGACGGTCAATGTTTTCATATGCCTATGTGTAAAGCTATATTCTGACAGCCGTGCAGACTTCCTTGCAAACGCATTCAGCTCTCTGCTCACACCAATTTATGATTTAAAGTTCAAACTGCAGCACGTATGCCAATTGGTACCCATCGTTGCAATTGGCTCGGGTTTCATGACTAGCACTGCTGTAAGTGGTTTTGAGGTTATTCCTTGCGCTAGTTGCGTGTGTGTTGGCCGCCATACTGCATGGCACTGCACAGTTGCTTGTGTGTTAGCCGCCATACTGCATCGCACTGCAGCAGCACTATCCCGCCGTGTAGCGTGCTGGAGTTTCTCCTGGCGTTTTATTGTGCTTCCTGCTGGGGCCATGCAATATCACTACTAGCATCGATGTGAGCTCAGCTCCATCGCATTCAACTCCTGTCCTTTCACTGGCTCACCATCATTCCTCTGTGGCTTGTATTCGGCTGTTTGTCTAGGTTCAACCTCGCTCCAGCCAGTGTTCGTCACTGGGAATGTTTGCACCGCCTCGTGACCTGTCGCATTCATCCCGTGTCACCGAGTATCCAGCACCTAGCACTGCTGATCGTGCCACGGCAGACTTGGAAGGAACACGTTTAGAAGAGCGTTGCCATGATTTGGCTCTGGGTGAGGAATATTTATGGGGGATCTCTGTTTTGTGTGTGTGTGTGTGGGGGTGGGTGGTCTGTGTGGGTGTCTGTGCGTGTGCTTGCAGTATGTCTTCGCTGTGTGTGAGTCTGTCTGTGTGTGAGTCTGTCTGTGTGTGTCTGTCTGTGTGTGTCTGTCTGTGTGTGTCTGTCTGTGTGTGTCTGTCTGTGTGTGTCTGTCTGTGTGTGTCTGTCTGTGTGTGTCTGTCTGTGTGTGTCTGTCTGTGTGTGTATGTGTGTGTGTGTCTGTGTGTGTCTGTGTGTCTGTGTGTCTGTGTCTGTGTGTCTGTGTCTGTGTGTGTGTGTGTGTGTGTGTGTCCTATTCCGATGTACTCCGTGTGGTGTAGACCAGGTGTGCATTGGGGGGTCGATTCACATGGCTTCGCCAGTTTTGTGGATTAGACAGTTATCTGGCGCTTGTCTTGTTCTGTTTCAATCAGAATCAGATCCGCTATCGTTGCTATAAAGAGAAAATCTGTGGGTGCACATCCAGTGCATTTGCAGATTTGCGTGCTCCTCTTGCGACGGGCGTATACATGGTACATGGTGTGTGTGTGTGTGTGTGTGTGTGTGTGTGTGTGTGTGTGTGTGTGTGTGTGTGTGTGTGTGTGTGTGTGTGTGTGTGTATGTGTGTGTTTGCAGTATTTCCTTGCTGTCTGCCTGTGGGTGAGTTTTGTAATACTTATGTCACAATCTTGCGGCACAATGATTGTGTGCTAGCCAGACCTAACATGGAGTCTGCTTTTGTTCTCTTGCTTTCCAATCTGCATTGTAGAGAACTATGAGCGGATGTCTATAACTACGGCGGCTGTCGCTGGCCGCTGGCGTTTCTTCCTCGAAAAACTTTGGCCCGTGTTCAGCAAGGACATGAAGGATAGTGAGCTAAGCCATGTCATGGACCGCACCTTGCCATTCCATGTCCGCGAGTCCAAGTTTCGTCGAGAACTGGAACAAACGCTGGATCTTCGCATGCGAAACCCTGCCGAGGTCCACCTCAAGGTACGGTGAAGCCCTGATATCAAGAGTACGTAAACCGGGGTGTTCATCTCCGCAACTTTGCTCCATGTGACCACTCATTGCGAAGTTTTTTTTTAGGTTCTCATGAATCATAGGATGACCTGCCATACCGTAGGTTCAGTCCTAACTCTCCGTATTACTAAAGTGATGACATTAAATATGTTAACACAGAAGGCGCGTGCTCTGTTCCCAACAAATTCTCACGGCTCATTCAGCCTCTGCAGCCGGGTCCTGCCCGGCTGCCTCCATACGGCTCACTCAGCCTCCGCAGCAGGGCTCTGCCCAGCTGCCATACACACACACACACACATTCACACAGCTCTAAGCTGTCACTCACTCGGAGCCTGGCAAAGCAATTGACAAACCCTCCTATTCCCCAAACTGGTTGCTCGTTGTGTGAGTGCGGCATGCAGATGCTTGTGTTAAATTCAATTAAAATAGAAGAAATCACATGGAAAGGAGTTATGAAACGATTATCCACGACTGTAACAAGATAATCAGCAGTCAAAAAGTGCGATAACAGGGCACAACACTGACATGTTGCTGAGACATTCAACGCGTGCATTTGTCACCTTCTGTACGACAAGCAGCCATGCGCAACAGAAATTCGCTTGGTGATATGGTAAAATGACCGTGCGAGGTGCAGCACAGGTGAATCACTATGAGCTGCAGTGGAAACACAAGCTTCGCTGTCGTCTGGTTGTTGTTCTCTTACTGATACAGTAAAACCTGTCTAAGACGACCGCTCGTAGGACCTGCAAAACGTGGTCTCTGTTACCACTTGGTCTCCCTGTCTAAGACGACCGCTCATAGGACCTGCAAAACGTGGTCTCCCTGTCTAAGACGACCGCTCGTAGGACCTGCAAAACGTGGTCTCTGTTACCACTTGGTCTCCCTGTCTAAGACGACCGCTCATAGGACCTGCAAAATGTGGTCTCCCTGTCTAAGACGACCGCTCATAGGACCTGCAAAACGTGGTCTCTGTTACCACTTGGTCTCCCTGTCTAAGACGACCGCTCATTGGACCTGCAAAACGTGGTCTCTGTTACCACTTGGTCTCCCTGTCTAAGACGACCGCTCATAGGACTTGCAAAACATGGTCTCTGTTACCACCTGGTCTCCCTGTCTAAGACGGCCGCTCATAGGACCTTCAAAACGTGGTCTCTGTTACCAGGTGGTCTCCTTATCCAGAGTCATTTGACTGAAATAGCACCCCTTGGTCCTGGTTTCAGTGGTCTTCTAAGTTCTAGGACAGGTGGTCTTCTTATTCGAGTGGTCGCCTTGACAGGTTTTACTGTACATGTGTGCTACAAACGTGATGAAATCCATGTTAGGTTAGTGAAATCCTGGTAGATGTATAGCATATCCCACCTGAGAATGGGCACTTTATAAGCAAGGTTGTTCTCAAGCCCGGCTCTCATATGCATACTACTGTAAATATACAAATTTTCGGCAGCTATAATTTCGGCTAAATTCGGCACCGACCCAAAACGCCTAAATTTAAACGCCGATGAAATTTTTCACAGCATCTGTCGCACTATACCATGCCCTCTACCCCGCGCCGAAAGTAAATCGCCGCCGAAATGTCAAAAATCGTGAAGTGCCGAAATTTTGTATATTTACAGATTTTTATTTATTTTTAAAGAGAGCACAAACCTACAAATCATGTTGAAAGACAAAAGGTACATTGGACTGGGTAGGCGCTATCCACAATGCCAGTTAATAGCTGTGCTGATGAAATACATGGACTCTGCCGACCATGGGTCTCGGCGTCACAGTGCCATGTATGCATCAAAATTAATCCTAAGTTTATAATGAGCCAACATAAGAAAGTGACTTAAGACAAAAAAATTAAATAAAAAACAAGGCAAAACAAGAAGGGAATAATAATAGTGGAAAAAATTGGGAGATTGAGAGATGCGTGGGTAGCTCTCGAGTGATACGGCAGGGTGAATCTAGACCAGAGTGGCTGGCAACTTTGTCGCAGGTGTGTGCAGCAGTGGCTTTCAGAGGTGGTCTGTAGCCCACAGCCAGTCAGTGTGTAGCAAGTGCTTCCATGCAGCTGCCTTGAAGCGGTGCAGCCGTTGCAGGGACATTGATGGCTGGAACAGGGAGGGTGGCAGTTGATTCCACAAACTGATGTGGGCAAACGGGAAGGACCGCCTGATGTACTCCGGTGCAGCTGGTGGTAGGGTATTGAGGAGCTGGTGAGGATGGGTCACCAGACCTTCGTGTAAGAATAATCCAGGAGAGTGAACTCGCTATCCTCTCTCGAGAGAGTGGTGGGAGAGCAGTCCCCACCCCCCCCCCCCCCCCCCCCCCCAAATTGCTCGCCTTATCTATCCAAGGCGAGCACAATACGGGTTTTTTCAACAACTTTATATTACTTCGTCAACATGGCAACAGCCAAGGCCCAAAAAAGTGTCCAGTTGACTCTGAAGGATCCGACGGATCTGAGATCTGGATCCCGATCCCGATCCTTACCAATCGAACATGCCCTAAGTCTGTGTGCTGGAAACCGTCTCTTGAATCTGCATGTAATGCTCACTCTGACATCGTGTACCATGGTACATGCACATCGCATGGGTGTGATGGAGTCATCACCACAGCTACACTCGCACCTCACTTCCTCCCAGCTGCACACTGGTCAGCTAGCAGGCTGGATTCTTCACGGCCACTTGACAAGTAGATTTACTCCAGAAACAAGTTGTTTCTGTCATATGCTGCCAAAGGTTATCCGCTAGCGGGACCGCCAAACTGTACATCTTGTGTAGGAACGTATATTTTCACTGAGTCCGTGTGTGCGCGTGTGCGCGCGCGCGCGTGTTTGCATGTGCGTGTGTGTGTGTGTGTGTGTGTGTGTGTGTGTGTGTGTGTGTGCATGTGTGTGTGTGCATGTCTCTTCCTCCTGAACCAGGTAACCCGGGGACCTCAGGCTCTCGCTGATTGCTTTGTGGGCCTTAATGCGCATGGAAGTGCTAGCGATTTGCCACCATGTGCCTTCCTCGGCTTCCTGAAAGTCGATTTTAAAGATGAGCCTGCAGAAGGTAGTGGAGTCATCCGCAACCTGTTCACTGTTGTTGCAGAGGTATGTTTTAACTAGTTCCCACCACCAAGTGTACATAACCAAGAGTGTGCAACTCGGCGATCCCCCAGCCCACGGCGGAATTTTTTTATGACATCAGTCTTTGGCGGCTGTTTGGCTCACTGATGCCATCATGCGTAGCCAGAGATCAAAGTACAAAGAATGTGTACATCGCAGCTACGGCAGTCGACGCAGAACAACGGGTGACAGATCGATGCGTCCTGAACCTGATGAACTCTCATCGTATCTACAAAACAAGCGCGGCAAAGCGTACACACTTGGTCATACTTCTACCAAACAATGACTCAATAAAATAATTCTGCCGTGGTTGAACCCATCACAGCTCGAGCTAGGAGTTGCACACCCTTCAGGGGCGTCGCACACGGTACGGTCACTACGGTATTGACCGTACCACTTTTTGCCCCAGATACAACAAAATCAACAAAATACACTGATCTGGGATCTAAAATTCCGAAATTTTCGGCTCAGCCACCACTCCCCCACAAGTAAATTGTACTTCAGATGGCTGACCGTACCACACTAAAATACCTTCCGACGTTGCCCCTGCCCTTGGTTATGTACTCTTGCTACTACTCTACACACTTCTGTCAAGAATATACATGAACTCTCAAGAGTGTGCAGCTCGGTAACTCTGCTTATTGGTTGCCGGTGGTAACAACTCATGCCACATGTGCCAACACTGCTACGTTCTGCACACACACACACACACACACACACACACACACACACACACACACACACACACACACACACACACACTCACACACACACACACACACACACACACTTGTACTTACTTGTACTTGTTGCTCACTGCCAAAACTGGTCACGTGAGTCCCCCCGGGAGAGGGGAGAGAGACTCAAAAGGAATCTTGGAAAGATGACTCAACTGGTTATTGAACCGCCCAACGGCCGACACCCCCTGAAATCCCCAAAACTCTGGGTGGACTTGAAAATGATCCCACTTATGGGCTCACCACACCTCAGTAAGTGGGTGAGGACAAGGTGCAGAAAAAGGATTGACGGCATCAGGGTATCCGTCCTGGGATCCAACTGCAGTTACCCCTGCCCCCAGTGAAGGTAATATTTGCTACTAGTGTGAGTGGCTAAATCAGAGTGGATCTGATAAAAGCTTCACTAGCACCATTGATTACACAAGAGTTAATCTAGCCAGAAGCAGTCCATGGTTAACAGGTATGTATACTACAAATAGAAAGTATATGAACCCTGGAACCAACAAAGGTGGCAGGTACAACATTACACCTTCAAGCAGCCGAGCCTGTTGGCAACAGACCCAACACAATCAGGCATACGTGTACCTACCAACCGAACTAGCTGGCACACACACACACACACACACACACACACACACAACACAACACAACACAACACAACATTTGTGCGAAGATTTTGAGCCTCGTCAGCGTTGGTGGGTGTGACTAGTAGTTTCGTATGCATGTTTATTAGGGTGAAACGAGTATCTATTGTGCTTTCATATCTTGTAACTAACGCTACTTGCCGTGATGATCGCAGCCATAAAATACTGACTCAAAGGCATGCATAATACATGCTTACCAGTAGACGAGCGGTACAACAAAAGCTTTTGAACAATCGAATGCCAATACGATCGAGTACAACATTTTGAGTACTCGCTCTTTTGAAATTTTCGAACAATTACTTGAATATTCAAACAAATCGTTTCACCCTCATTTCCCGCAGTGAGCCAGCACATGAACTTCACTGCTGAATTAAAAATTTAAAATGCATGGTCAGTCTCGTACAGCTAGCTGATTCGACCTGGTCTGGTCTCATCAGCGGAGTGGCATGCTGTCAAGAGTACAGGAACAGGAGGAGTGTGCAGCTCTGCAGCTGGTCCGGTGCATGTTGGAACTTTCTTTCTTTGACATCGCCTTTTAGTTAGAGCACACGACGCGCATGCCGTACGAAACGTGCGCAAAGCATGCCTCCATCGCCAGTTTGTGTTCTTGCTGCTTTCAGTACGAAATTAAGTTTTTCTCCCACTGCTATTTCTTTTACCGTGCCCGTAGTGTGAGTTTAGGGAAACTCGGCCACGTTCAAAGGGCCACTTAGCGGACGTCGACAATGGATTCCGCTGTGGGCCAAACCAATCAGAGTTGCACACTCTTGCTTTTGTACTCTTGGTGATCTGGATGTCAAACACAAGGTGGAAACTGCAAAACAGCATTCTCGTTATGTTCACGACAGCATGCGTGCCATCCCTTAAACACACGCGATATCAGCTTGCCAACCACATCCGCCTTCGAGGCTTTGGCACTTCGTTTTGCTTCTCCTTGCTAAGGTCACGTTCAGACTACCGATAAAAGTGAAGGAAAGGGAAAGTTTCCAAGGGGATTTGATCACGTGACGTTACTGGTAGGCACTTCAGTCACGTGACACGGCGTGTCAAAAAGTGCTAACGCTGAATCGCGTACATGCGTGGCACCGCGGAAAGGTGCATGCATAGATCGATCTCTAGCTGCACGGAAGCTGCGCAGGGCCTTCTCGTGTGGCGCAGCATGTAGCTGAGGCCCTCAGCTTTCGTTTGAGCCCACATACGTCATGATGCGGCAATTTTTTGAACTCACGTACAGTTCGAGTAAAATCGGCAAGGATTTTTCGGGCATTTCACTTGATTGCACGCATTTGCCATGTAGCTCATCGTCTTCAGCGTCGTATTTCCTTTCGGAATCAGTTGTCCTCGTTTGTCCAACACTTTGCGCATTGCTGCGCAAGAAGAAATAATGCGAGGTGTTATTGAAAGCGAGCCGCGACAGGCGTCCTCCCGGCAGTAGTCCTTGTTCGTCGGAGCCCATGCGCATGGCTGCGCAAGAAGAAATATTGCCAGGTGTTATAATTATATTGGAGTCGCATCGGAGCAGTCGTCCTCTCCTGCAGGCGACGAGTAGGACAGTATATACTTCGGCGACTGGACCAAGAGAGCTGACATCAAAAAGGCCTGCTTGGAACAAATCGTCAGCTGATCAGCAGGTGGCTTCCAGCGACCAAGAAAAGCATTGACGGTGATATTATACCAAGAATCCAGCACACACTCTATGCACAAAATCTCTCATGCTGGAGTTGCTGAAGTTTCAGTAGTCCCAAACATTTGCAAACGATGTTCTACATGTAATAGTTTGTCATTTCTTTCCGTCAAATACGCGGTAAAATTCTAGTTTGCTCAGTCTTCGGCTCATTGTTCTTCCGTATTCGTCACCACTTCAGTACTGTACATGTAGCAACAATGTGTTCTGGCACTGAATTATTGTAGTTACTTTATCTTACCTCAAAGTCTCATCTTATGCTTTTCCAAAGGCTTCTCTGCACTGTTTTCATGCTGTTGCGATGGAGTTGCTATGGAGTTGCCATGGTGACCACACCCGATATCTTCGTCTGAGCTGCCGGACGGATGAAAAATGCGAAGTTTTTCCAAACCATGCTGTTTCTGCATTCATCTGGTTATTTTGACCTGCTTCCAGCGAGCCTGGTATTTTGCCACTATAGACACTGAAGCAAGTCCTACCAATTTCTGGTATGCTGCTGGTGCCGTCGAAATACTGAAATTGCCGTTATTCAATTCTCCGACTTTGGATGGCTATATCTCTGTGCCAAGTTATTCTTTTTGCTTCAAATTTTCTGTGGAGTCTTCCTAAACCTATCTGAATCGGATACAAGAAAGAAATACGAGTATTTCTGGTTTTGAAAAAACCGCCTGAAGTGCCTATTACTGGCACTTTGCCGGCGGAAAAGTTTTACTGTCGCGGCTGCTGCATTCCGGCAGTAAAAAAGGTGCTCAGGCTAGGAGTAGGGGAAAATCCCTTCTCAGTGCCGCGGTGAGCACTGCACAAGTAACGTTGGTTTACCGGTAGTATGAATGTCCTTCACGGTTTATCGCCATTCACGGTTTGACGAGGTTCTCGGTAGTCTGAACACGTCCTTATCTTGCAATGGAAGCCTGTGTGTGGTCTGCGGGTAAGGCTTGTCAACTTTGGGTTTTACTAGTGCCACCATTGTGCCGGACATGATCCTCTCGCAGACGTCAGTGTTGATATTTCATCCGCTGTTGTGTGCGTGCGTGCGTGTGTGTGTGTGTGTGTGTGTGCGTGTGTGCGTGCGTGTGTGTGCGTGTGTGTGTGTGTGCGTGTGTGTGTGTGTGTGTGTGTGTGTGTGTGTGTGTGTGTGTGTGTGTGTGCATGTGTGTGCGTGTACGTGCGTGCGTGTTTTTAGATCCTGGAATCGAATCACACTCTTCCTAAGTACACCACCAGTAGTCCAGCGAGTAAGTAGTAATAGTGATGATGCAGTAGCCACTACAGTCAGACCTCGCTTATCCGGTCCTCGTTTATCCGGATCCCTCGCCATCCGGAAGAAAATCGTTGGTTACCAATTTACAGCATAATTATGCCATGCTTGCATACAGTATGTGTGTTTGATTATCCGGTTCCCTCGCCTATCCGGATATTTTTGTGGAAAACGGATGTGTGCGGTTATGCGAGGTCTGACTCTACTTGTACTAGTTCTTTATTTCCAAATTTGGGTTGTCTTTTTGCTTTGACTCTTACTTCATGGATTCACGCGTTTGGCCCAATTGGTGTTGTGATTATACCCATTCTCAACTAGTACAGTAGACACCACTACTGTAGTACTGTAGTACAGCCCAGATTCAGGCAGGTTGGGACCGGGCACTGCCAGTAAACTGCCCAGATTCAGGCAGGTTGGGACCGGGCACTGCCAGTAAACTGCCCAGATTCAGGCAGGTTGGGACCGGGCACTGCCAGTAAACTGCCCAGATTCAGGCAGGTTGGGACCGGGCACTGCCAGTAAACTGCCCAGATTCAGGCAGGTTGGGACCGGGCACTGCCAGTAAACTGCCCAGATTCAGGCAGGTTGGGACCGGGCACTGCCAGTAAACTGCCCAGATTCAGGCAGGTTGGGACCCGGCACTGCCAGTAAACTGCCCAGATTCAGGCAGGTTGGGACCGGGCACTGCCAGTAAACTGCCCAGATTCAGGCAGGTTGGGACCGGGCACTGCCAGTAAACTGCCCAGATTCAGGCAGGTTGGGACCGGGCACTGCCAGTTAACTGCCCAGATTCAGGCAGGTTGGGACCCGGCACTGCCAGTAAACTGCCCAGATTCAGGCAGGTTGGGACCGGGCACTGCCAGTAAACTGCCCAGATTCAGGCAGGTTGGGACCCGGCACTGCCAGTAAACTGCCCAGATTCAGGCAGGTTGGGACCGGGCACTGCCAGTAAACTGCCCAGATTCAGGCAGGTTGGGACCCGGCACTGCCAGTAAACTGCCCAGATTCGGGCAGGTTGGGACCGGGCACTGCCAGTAAACTGCCCAGATTCAGGCAGGTTGGGACCCGGCACTGCCAGTAAACTGCCCAGATTCGGGCAGGTTGGGACCGGGCACTGCCAGTAAACTGCCCAGATTCAGGCAGGTTGGGACCGGGCACTGCCAGTAAACTGCCCAGATTCAGGCAGGTTGGGACCGGGCACTGCCAGTAAACTGCCCAGATTCAGGCAGGTTGGGACCCGGCACTGCCAGTAAACTGCCCAGATTCAGGCAGGTTGGGACCCGGCACTGCCAGTAAACTGCCCAGATTCAGGCAGGTTGGGACCGGGCACTGCCAGTAAACTGCCCAGATTCAGGCAGGTTGGGACCGGGCACTGCCAGTAAACTGCCCAGATTCAGGCAGGTTGGGACCGGGCACTGCCAGTAAACTGCCCAGATTCAGGCAGGTTGGGACCGGGCACTGCCAGTAAACTGCCCAGATTCAGGCAGGTTGGGACCCGGCACTGCCAGTAAACTGCCCAGATTCAGGCAGGTTGGGACCCGGCACTGCCAGTAAACTGCCCAGATTCAGGCAGGTTGGGACCCGGCACTGCCAGTAAACTGCCCAGATTCAGGCAGGTTGGGACCGGGCACTGCCAGTAAACTGCCCAGATTCAGGCAGGTTGGGACCGGGCACTGCCAGTAAACTGCCCAGATTCAGGCAGGTTGGGACCGGGCACTGCCAGTAAACTGCCCAGATTCAGGCAGGTTGGGACCGGGCACTGCCAGTAAACTGCCCAGATTCAGGCAGGTTGGGACCGGGCACTGCCAGTAAACTGCCCAGATTCAGGCAGGTTGGGACCGGGCACTGCCAGTAAACTGCCCAGATTCAGGCAGGTTGGGACCGGGCACTGCCAGTAAACTGCCCAGATTCAGGCAGGTTGGGACCGGGCACTGCCAGTAAACTGCCCAGATTCAGGCAGGTTGGGACCGGGCACTGCCAGTAAACTGCCCAGATTCAGGCAGGTTGGGACCGGGCACTGCCAGTAAACTGCCCAGATTCAGGCAGGTTGGGACCGGGCACTGCCAGTAAACTGCCCAGATTCAGGCAGGTTGGGACCGGGCACTGCCAGTAAACTGCCCAGATTCAGGCAGGTTGGGACCGGGCACTGCCAGTAAACTGCCCAGATTCAGGCAGGTTGGGACCGGGCACTGCCAGTAAACTGCCCAGATTCAGGCAGGTTGGGACCGGGCACTGCCAGTAAACTGCCCAGATTCAGGCAGGTTGGGACCGGGCACTGCCAGTAAACTGCCCAGATTCAGGCAGGTTGGGACCGGGCACTGCCAGTAAACTGCCCAGATTCAGGCAGGTTGGGACCCGGCACTGCCAGTAAGGGCGCGTTCAGACTACCGTGAACCCCGTCAAACCGTGAATGCCGATAAACCGTGAAGGACATTCACACTACCGATAACAAACTAACGTTACCGTGAAGTTTTCAGCTCTCACCGCGGCACTGACAAGGGATTTTCCCTTTTTTTCGCAGCGCGCATGCAGCCTGAGCACTTTTTTACTGCCGGTAAAAGTTTACTGCCGCAGCAGCCGCGGCAGTAAAACTTTCCCACCGGTAACGTGCCAGTAACGTCACGTGATCAAATCACCTCGGCGACTTTCCCAATCGGTCACTTTTTATCGGTAGTCTGAACGCGCCCTAAACTGCCCAGATTCAGGCAGGTTGGGACCCGGCACTGCCAGTAAACTGCCCAGATTTGGGCAGGTTGGGACCGGGCACTGTCAGTAAACTGCCCAGATTCGGGCAGGTTGGGACCGGGCACTGCCAGTAAACTGCCCAGATTCGGGCAGGTTGGGACCGGGCACTGCCAGTAAACTACCCAGATTCAGGCAGGTTGGGACCGGGCACTGCCAGTAAACTGCCCAGATTCAGGCAGGTTGGGACCGGGCACTGCCAGTAAACTGCCCAGATTCGGGCAGGTTGGGACCGAGCACTGCCAGTAAACTGCCCAGATTCGGGCAGGTTGGGACCGAGCACTGCCACGGTAACTAGGCACTGCCTGTCACTCTGATGCTTGCATACTCCAGTACTTACTGCATGCAGGTAAACGGTGTTGTGTGTACTGTAAAGTGAGAAACTGTCGCTAGAGATTAAATTTCGCTATTTTCGCAACCATCACACATTCACGAATATAAATCGCCGCAAACCTCTCCGTACATTGATTGGAGACCATACAAGATCCGACTGAAGAGGTACAATCGCAAAAGTTTCTCATCGTGAACCAGCCCAATTTAAGAAAATGCTAAATTTGCGCACCGCGAAGGTTTGTCGCTTTACAGTACTCTCTGGACTGAATATTTACGGCAAAATATCTCTTTCATCCTTCCATCCAAGCACTGATGCACAAGAATTCAGCTGGACGCTTCATTCTTTTTTTTAAATATTTTCAACAGTAATGTACTTTCCTATAAGGGTGTGCAGACTCCACTGTAGCCACTTCATGTTTCACACAGTTATACTTCACCACTACTCAAAAACGATCTCTCGGCTGCGAATTCTTCCAAAAATAATAAAATCCAAATTTTCGAGCCAGACCCATCTTCCTGATAGACCTGGCCCGAAAATTTGGATTTTATTATTTTTGGAAAATTTTGTAGCCGAGAGACCGGTTTTTGGTAGTGGTGTATAACTGTGTGGGTAATGTACTTTGCTTCTGTTTTCCTTCCGTGTAACGTTCCCTGTAGTTTTCACTAGCACCAGGGTGAGAGTCCCCGCGTCGGCCTACAACCGTCTATCTAAACCGGAATCGACCCTGACGGCTGAAGGTATGTTGCTGCTGCTGCTGCTCCTGTTGTTGTGTGCGACGTTGAGCCTGGGCTGGACTGTTGGTTTCCTTTTCTTGCAGCCCCAATTAAAGGGGGAACTGTCACCAAAATGTTTTATTGCCTTTAATACACTGTGGCTGGGAGGTTTGCTGTTCCTGGCGGTAAACTTCGTTTTCTTCCGAGGCGTGCTAAATTGTGCCGGAGCACAAGCCGATGTGATGTTCAACTTACTTGCCCCTTGTCCGTATTTTCCGTCAACCCAACGAAGCAAGTCATGTCTGACGTGCTGTACGATAATCGGTATGTGTACCGTAAAGTCCGTTGCAAACGCCCACTTTGCAGCAAACGCCCACCGCAGCGGGTCCATACTACTTCCTCCGCCTAAGCAAAATGTTCGCTTATCGTTACAGTTTTTACTGATACATTCCAGGTTCTCAGAACGGCTTATGTATGTATGTATGTATAACTCATAATCACAAGGTAATCGTAGAGGCATTAATCAGCGAGAGAATTGTGAATGATGTCTCTGAATCCAACTCTATCGTGTGCTGCATGAGAGAGAGCATGCAAGGGAAGACCCGTCCAACTTTTAATGTTAGAACGGCTTATAACGACTCGGAATGAGTTGAGGAGTCGTTGAACATCAAGAGAAACTCTCCAAGTCGAAAAATGTAGAAGTCATCCTTTGTCATCAGCCGACGCAGCACTTGTTGTCGGGTAGTACTTCGCACTTTCCAGAAGCGCAAATATTTTCTATCGACACTTTCCCAAGCGCTTCACCTCCTTCACGAGTACGATCGGTTGTGTTTCTTACCAGCCGAAGCTGGCGAGCTCAGTCAGCGTCGCTTTGCTGGATCATTCACGTTGACATCAGGCAAATGAGCTGGGCGAGTGACAACCCTGTCATCGAAGCCTTTCTTTTCCAACTGTTTTGCCCAGTGCCGATTCTGGTTCATTTTGCAGTATGTGGGCGAGCGTCGCTGAGTGGCTTTCTCAGCTTCAAGCTCGCGTGCATTTTTACCGTACACACACCTTGAGCAGGATGCAATCAAACACGCTGGCTTTTCGCAACATGACACCTCTGCTCTGTACTCCAGTGCCAGCAGTGGTACTCTAGCAGCACCCACCTTGACCAGTGACCGACTTCGTGTCTTTTTTACCAGTTCACTCGCATTCAACGCGCTCTACTCTAGATGTTTATTTACCGTATTTTACCGGTTGTAAGTCGACCCCGGTTATAAGTCGACCCCCCTATCTGGAGGTCTCAATTCTGCGTTTTAAAGTTTTCACCCAAAGAAGCACTACTAACCACCTCCTGCAACTAACACATCAACAAATCATGTAAACATTCCTTATTGGAGGATATAACGTCCCAATCCTTGAAAAAGGCCAATAAACTGGGAGAATGTGTAAACATGGTGCACTCGTGCATGCAGTGCAGGTCATTTTTTGTAAGATACTGATAGTTCCCGGTTATAAGTCGAATCCCGGTTGTAAGTCGACCCCCACCCTTTCTCCTTCTATTTTAAGTCGTAAAAGGTCGACTTACAACCGGAAAAATACGGTACTCTTTGCCGACTTCGCCGACTTTTTTGGAACTGGTACGCCTGAACCAGCAGATTTGTGTGGTGGTGAAGTGCACAAGATGCAAAAAATTGCTGTCAGACACCTCTCATTGGGCTGAAGGAGATAAGCGAAAATTTTGCCTGGGCGGAGGAAGTATTTTCGTCTTTTTCAGGTCAATATAGGTGTAGAAAACTGGCATGAAGGTCGAATGCGTACGAAAACGACTGTAATGCCTACAAACTGCTTACCGTATTTCCGCGCATATGAAGCCATGGCGTTATAGGTGAAACATCGCTGTTTTGGACCAAAATTTTACAGAAAATAGCCATGGCGCTAAAAGTGAGAGACGCGTACATGCAAAAATCTGCGGAGTAAGTACTCGTACGGTGCCGTAGCACGTTCATGTCGAGCATCCATGTACTTTCATTTTTCCCTGAAAATTTCAAATTGTGAACCTATTGTGTACAAGGTGGCATGTGACAGCGGGGATGGGTACATGCAGAGAGAATCACCGCTACTGTAGGTTCACTGAAAGAACTGAACTCACCTTTAACGCCAGATGCAACTTCCTCCACATTGAATTTTGTTCACTTATAACACCATGGCTTTATCAGTGAGGGTGGCTTCGGATATAACGCCATGGCTTTATATGCGCGGAAATACGGTATGTCTTACCAGGAGGCTCTGCAAAAGCGATTGTCATTATCTTGCTGCAAAGACAAAAACTTCTGTCAAGATTTCCTTTCATTCGATAAATGAGTCGTCTTTGTGGTAGTTCGCTCTCCATGTGGTAATGCTGTAGAATCCATCTGGTTTTCATGAAATTTCTGCAGTGCCACAATGTGGCGCTTTCAGAACGGAACAGTGATTGTTCTGACGAAACGCCATTCAGCGACTTGACCAGTCGCAGTATTGCAGTTACAAGTCGAACAGGGTATGTCACAGAAGCTACACCCACAAATATTAAAAGTCGCTGCTAACTTGTTGAAAACTCTGAAGTGCTCGAGAAAAACCTTTGAGCCTTTGAGCGTTGCGTGATTTGTAAATGGTGGCTTGAAACACCATCAGAAGTGTATTTGGTTCCTGCAATACTCTGTTCTTCGCTACCTTGCTATTCGGAAGAAACTCCCGTGTGGATTTGCGAAATAAAACAACCATCATCATAAAATCCCCACGAGCTAGCTCGTAGCTAGTGCCCGAAAAGATTTTGAAACGAGGAAAGTGGACATAGGCTACGTTCGTTTTTAGCTACTTGGTAGAGTAGAGTCACTCTACCGATAGAGGTAGATGGTAGAGGCAAGTGTACGAACGCTGTTCTACCAGATCTACAAGTAGTAGTTTACACGATGCGTACGTGAAAGGTTTCTTTTTTTTATGGAGTTGTGTACAAATCCTTGATCTTGCTGGAAATCCTGTAGCTCTACCAACTTCTACCGGATTCTACCAACTTTTTCCCGGTAGAGCCGGTAGAGGAAAGTAGAATCTACCCTTTTGAGTACAATTTTTTTCAAAAAACGAACACCTCTACCGAAAGAAGTAGTTTCAGAAGAATTCTACCCAAACCTGTAGATCAAAAACGAACGCCCCCATAGTTTACCGTAGCAAAGCGCTCATCGCGCTACGGTGTGAGATGCACTTTCGTACAGCAGGGTGACAGTGCATGGGGTCAGTGCGTACAGGCCAGCAGATCTTGCAAAAATGGGGTGCGCGTTTGCAGCGGACTTTACGGTACTCGTGCATTGTCTAATAAATGTCTGAATCACATGTTTTTTATGGCATACTATTTATAAATGGGAAAAAGGAAGAAAAAAGAAACTCCATCGCAGTGAACAGGATTCGAACCTGTGCGGGCAGAGCCCAATTTAACCACTCGGCCACCACTGCTTGTGCATTGGTTGTTGCATGTTGGCCAGGTGACATTGATTATTGTGTGTGTCAGACTTATCAATGGCACTGGCTGCTGTTACTGACCAGTATATGCTTTGCTGTCTGTTTCTTTGTTATTTCATGTGGCTGCAGAGAAAGGTGTAGCGCGTGATGAGCTTTGGTGGAGTGACATTCAAAAAAGCCCAAGTCGTTCCATTGGCGCCAATCTGAGTGGGCACACCATGCAGATGAGGAAAGCTTGCCTTGGAGATCGTCTGGCAGCGCGATTGCTGGATCATCGGGATGCTGTAAGCATTGGCTTCAACTGCATGGTATTGTTCTCTGGTAGGCTGCTGGGACTTTCCCCTTTCCAGCACGTGTATGGGCACAGTAGGCAGTGGACCAGTAATGAAGAAAACAATCCTTCATCTGGAATACATGCTGTAAACCCTGGAACCTTTGCGCCTGTTTTAGTTCGCGATTTGCGAGCACAGGCACATTTGCACCTGGAGATGTTTGCGATTGGAGTCAATTTCCTCAGTTTCTTTACTACAGTTCTACGTTTCGCTCCGGCTTACTTTTGCGAATTCACGCCCATCGCGACGGCCGCGAAGGATTCTGGACCGCAAACGTTTCCGCGTTTACAGTATGCCGTAAGGTGCAGTTGATCCCCCCCCCCCCCCCACGCTCTGTTGCTTCCCTGCTGTTTTTTTCCGGAAATTAGAGAGGGGGTTAATTTCTACAAGCTAACGGGCTGGTTAGAATCCTCTTTCGTCGTGTGGCCGTGGCTGCGTGTGTGTATGTGGGTGTGTTATGTGGGTGTGCGTGTGTATGTGCGTACGTATGTACGTGAGCGAGCATGCGTGCGTTTGTGCCTGTGGGTGTGTGCCTGCATGCGTGCGTGTGTGCCTGTGCCTGTGCTTGTGGCCAGGCTAAAGTGGTGGCATCCATGGTGGACCATGCACCGGCCTGGCTGCTACTGCAGTTCCTTGAGGACAATGCTTTGCTGCATAAACACTATCGTCATGTGTGTCTCACCTTGCAGAACCAGTAAGTGTGGTGTACACGTACTCGTAAATCTATAGCATCTTGGTTGGCTTGCATGTCCTGCTTTAATGGCAGGATCTAGGGCTGCGTTTTAAAATTAGGGCTGCAACGAATATTCTATTTCACAAACGAACGAATACTCATCCATAACGAACGAATAACGAAGTTTCTCTCAAAATGCTGAATTATGTCGAAACAATTATTTAAATAGGAACTAAATCGATTTTTTTGTAAATGAATCGAATATTCTATACCAAAAGAATCTTAGAAAGAGTTTGGCTAGTCCCCAGTTGTTCTAGATCAAGTAGATGTCTAGTGGAGTCATGTCCACTACTCTTGTGAGTCATAGTCCTCTTTCTCAACACGTAACACATGTACATATCACTCCATCTGTTCAAGAATTACTACAAATTGATCGACAGGAGCAGAGTATGCGCACGTGTCACAACGAACGAATATTCTAAAGGGGAAAATATTCCTTCCATCGGGTTCCTAACGAATATCAATCGAATATTCGAATATTCCTTGCAGCCCTATTTAAAATGTTCGAGTGTTACAACGAATGTTACAACTACTTCAAAATAGCCGTGCAAGAAATAATGAAGCTAGCCCTAGCTACCAACTTCTGTCAGAATGATCAAATTTATATTCTGCCTTGATTCTAAAATTCATATTGCTGATTGGCCTACCGGCAGGAATATGAGAGATTTGTCTCTGTTTGAAATTGGAGCGATCTTTACTAGACTGCAGAACTATTAGCTAAATCTGGAGCGTACGATTCTAATGTTTGTTTTCAGAGGAGGTTGCTGCATTATCCCGACTTGTGTGTGTATGTGTGTGTGCATGCGGGCGTGTGGGCGTATGTTTAGCCACCCACGCTAATAGCAAGTATTACCTTCACTGGGGACAGGGGTAAATGCAGTTGGATCCCGGGGCGGATACCCTGATGCCGTCAATCCTTTTTCTGCACCTTGTCCTCACCCACTTACTGAGGTGTGGTGAGCCCATAAGTGGGATCATTTCCAAGTCCACCCATAGTTTGGGGTTTCCCGGTTCAATATCGAATTGAGTCATCTTTCCAAGATTCCTTTTGAGTTTCTCTCCCCTCTCCTGGGGAGACCCATGTGACCAGTTATGGCAGTGAGCAAGTACAAGTGTGTGTGTTAATTAGCCACACACAGATCTTCTTATTGCATGGCCTACGGAGGGTGCACTGGTCGTAGGGATGAAAATAAACAAAGAAAGTACGACTGACGGCTTGTGTGTTTTGGCACTGGCACTGCACTAGTAGAGCATGGCTATACACTAGCAGTTTGCAGTTTGCAGTTTGCACTGTGAAAGCCTCCCACCAGTGTGTCTGGTTTGAATGGGGTTGTTTTGCCTGACAATGGTTTGTTTATGTCCTTTCAGCTCCGTCTTGAGGAATGAGTGGGTGGACCTTGAGGAGGCTGAGGATTCGAATCCTGTGTACTTTCAAGGCAAGGTTGCCGTATTTGAATCCGAGCAAGAGTCTCTCTTCTACCCCGGCAAGGAAACGGGTTTCTTCTCACTAAGGCCTGGCCCAGCCACGGCTCTTCGAGACAATGCATACGTCAACGTCGGAAGGTAATGAAGAGAAATAGCCGTGTGCTGCATGTGCATGTGCTCTGTTGAAATAGCCGTGTGCTGCATGTGCATGTGCTCTGTTGAAATGCACATACAGTAAAACCTATAGAATTGCCATCACTCGGATATGGCCACCACTCGGATATGGCCACCACTCGGATATGGCCACCACTCGGATATGGCCACCACTCGGATATGGCCACCACTCGGATATGGCCACCACTCGGATATGGCCACCACTCGGATATGGCCACCACTCGGATATGGCCACCACTCGGATATGGCCACCACTCGGATATGGCCACCACTCGGATATGGCCACCACTCGGATATGGCCACCACTTGACCGTGGCGACCAGTTTTCCTTGTCACGGACGCATTCACATTCAAAACAGCTCGGATAAGGCGACCACTCGCTCAACGCGACCAACGACTACCCACCCGCGACCGCGTCCCACCCTACTAGTACAGTCATGTACATGCATGATTAGTAGCATACATTTAGATGTAGGCGTGTGCAGTGTGATGCACTGATCGAAATGATATATCGCATGTACATGTATAGTGAATATGTTCACGTGGCCCACTGAACCTGGATAAGAAGACCACCGGGCCAAGGTGACCACTTTTTCTCATCCCTTGAGCAGTCGCCTTAGACAGGTTTCATTGTATGTAGTTTGAAGTACCGTTTATCCTACACGCAGCTGTGCAGTCTAGCAGCATTGCAGTGCTCAATGCATGGAAGTTCACACACAGTATAGTCGCACAGTACAGGATGAGCAGTTGTGGAGGTCTATTCGCAGCTATACATACAGCATACACTATGCTGTGACAAGTTCTGCAGTGACTAGAAACCACTAGATAGTACAAGAAAGCTCAGCCAGCATTCACATTTAGTGAAGTTGACAAGCACAGAGGACTGACTCTGAGGACCTCTGGAATAATACGAGCAGTTGCTTTTGGGGCAATGAGCATGCACAGCCATAAACCACAGCACTGCTTTTATTATTATAAAAATGATACTTACGGAAACACGGGTCAGCAATCGGCAGCGGAGCGCAGAATTAGCGAAAAACATACACCCGAAGTCGTTATTCCCAAGGTCGACTGAATGTCATACCTGCCAAGTATTTCAAAGTACTAATGGCGCGTTTGGTTGGTACGAACTAGAACGGGATTCACCAGAACAGCGCGTTTGGTTGGGACTGCACCTGTTCTGGGTCGGCCAGAACATGTTCTGCTTGCTCCGGCCTCGAGGCCGGAACAGACCGAGCAGTTTCACTTTTTCACAGTGAAACCTGGCGGGAACATCGATTTTGGTCCCAAATGATCACATGCATACGCTTTTGGTTTGGACTCATTGTACCGTACAAAGTGACCATGGTGACCCATACACATTCAAAAAAAGAATGCACCTTCGCGTTGCCGAGGTCATGTTTGCTTGACAGGCATCTTCATGCCTGCTACCTTGCACTGCTTGGGTCAATGAATGCAACTCTGAGGAATATTTCCCAAAAGTCAGTCTTCATCATTTCCAACGTTTTAATGATGACACCAACATTTTATGGATTAGATTAGGTAATG